GAATTTTAAAAAATAAAAATTTGATTAAACTGCGGCTGCAAAGAAGAAGCATTTAAAGACCTAGGGTAAATTCTAGTATTTTAACACAAAAATGCACTATAAAATATAAAAGCAAACTTAATAAACACAGGCAATCAAAATGCATGTAAGGAACAAGGTAAGCCACTTTGCTAAATAGAACAAGGCTATCAGCCTGATGTGTGGCCACACTTACATGCTCCCCATCCGCCCTGTGATTTGGCTCCATCTAGAGACAAACATTTGGACATAAATACCTCGTCACCTAACAGGACACACAAAGCACCCCAACCCAGCTCATTCTATCCCCAGAGCAACATGAACTCCCAAGATGAAGGGAAAGACAAGGGGTAAATTTTGTAAATTCGAACAATAGAATAGATCCTCAATGTCATGAAGACATCTGAGTCAGCACCGGTTGGTCATATACCTGGTCTTCGATGGTGCGGTGGTCGGTCTCCTGGAGCCAAGTTCCAAGAATCACAGAGTCATCTGCATGGCAAACCGCGCGCAGGAGAGAGGTGGTGGTGTTTGCAGAATTCTCGGTGAGAGTAAACTCAGCCACCAGCATTCTTAGCAGATGTGTGTAAGAACCTATTTAAGAGGGGAAATTTGTAAAATGGATATGGGACTACTTCTATGACGGCAGAGGTTTAGGTAGAAGTCTGAATAGTACCTTCGAATGCAGTGGGGGGCAGCAGGGCCAGAGTCTCATAGAGACGCAACCTGACCATGGCTGACGGTGCTTTAAGATGCTGCCCATACGTCTTCAAGACGTTTGATATACTGTGAAATCAAAGATCAGAGTTTAGAACAAGAAGACCTGGCTTGATGTCAAGCAAAGAGACCATATCTGGCGGCTTACTTGGTGAGCATGGCGAGCGCGGACTCGATGGGGGTGAGCAGGCGGCGGGTGATGTCGTCGGTCACCAGCTCGGGGCAGTTCTGCACGAAGCTGTGCATGGCCGAGAGCGCACCCGCGCGCCCCTCCAGGGTGACCTGCCAGGTGAAGGCGTCGCCGCGGGCCTTCTCCGACTCGAGCTCCTTGTTGGAGCGCGGGAACGAGTTGCGCCACAGCAGCAGCATGCGCGGCAGCAGCCCCCGCACCACGGGCACGCCCAGGGTCATGATGGCGCCGATGAGCAGCCAGCCCGCCTGCGTGCGGTTCAGCGACAGGCGGCTGTTCTGGCTGGCGCTGCGCAGCAGCTCCTCGGCCGTGTTGAAGATGACCTTGCCCTTGGTGTGCGGCACCCCGAGCGGCGACAGGCGCACCCCGCCCAGCACGGCCGCCAGCGCCGCGCTGTAGCCGCCGATGGCCTCCGGGGACGTGCGCATGTTCTCGATGCCCTCGACGCACTTGTCGATGAGCGGCGTGCTCTGCGCCGGCACCGCCACGCAGATGCAGCGCAGCGCCCAGGCGGCCGCGAGGCGCGCGGCCTGGCACGGGTGCACGAGCACGGCCACCGCGGCGTCCACCAGGCTCAGCGACTGGTCCGTGAGCAGGATGGCGGCCGTGGTGCCCAGCCCCAGCACCAGCGCGCCCAGCTCCTGCAGCGCGCACACCAGCAGGTGCTGGCCGAACAGCGTCTCCTGGTTGCAGTCCTTGGCGTTCTCCGGGTTGAAGTCGATCGAGTTCATCTGCTTGAGGATGATCTGCGCGATCTCCTTGGCCGCCGAGGCCTGGGCCTTCTCGCCGAGCATGCGGCCCAGCACCGAGCGCAGGATGAAGCTGATGCACTTGCGCGAGTAGACGGCGTCCACGTGCGAGCTGGCCGCCTTGGGGTTGGCCACCAGGTCCAGGACGTGGCTCAGCAGCGCGCCCAGGTTGCGCTCCAGCCAGGCGCCGCCCAGGATCTGGACGAACACCACGTAGGCGTGCGTCACGCCCACGCGCACCTCCCGGTTCACGCCGGAGCTGCCCTTGATCATCTCGCCGGTGCCCTTGAGGAAGCCGGTGCCGCCCCGGAGGAAGCCCGTCATCAGCACGCCCAGGGCCTCCTCCAGCGAGATGGACTTGACCGCCTTGGAGTTTTGTGCTGGAAGGGACAAGAAAAAAGCATCAGCATTGGCCGGTCGTTTGATAACGTGCGCTCAAATGTAGAACAGCAGAAATACTAATTCAATTCTTACCAGCCTGGTTGCCGCGCTGCGGCTGCTGCGTGGTGGCGACCAGCGCCCCCAAGAGTCGCGCCACGGCGCACCGCACCTCGTAGTTGGAGCCGTCGAAGGCCCTGAAGCAGAGGGTAGCCAGCCCCTCCAGCTCCGTCAGGTACAGGAATGGCGCGTGGTTCAGCATCTCCAGCAGGCACTGCAGAACAGAGCCAACATCAGTACAGTTTCCACCTAATTTTAATGAATGAAATCAAACGATTTCCGACGCATGCTTTCCTTCGTGAAAATCTTTCACATTTCCTTTTTATAAAGTTTCCTTTAGCGAGCCTGTTTCAAACGTCCCCTCCCACTTACCCTGGCCGCCGCGCAGCGTACCGCCATGACCCTGTCCGTGAGGCAGTGCCGGGCCGCCTTGTAGATCTCCTTGTGCACGTTGGAGATGGCGGTGCCCATGCCGCTGCAGACCTGCGCAACCAACAAACTCCATTAGATGGAACACTACAACGCCGTGGAGTCGGCCACAAACCGCGCCAGTACCTTCTCCAGGGTGATCATGATCTCGATGCGAGTCTGGGACTCGGCGTTCCGCAGGGACTTGACGAGGATCTGCACCGTCTCCTCGTACGAGCGGCCCATCATGCGGCCCAGCTTCTCGTACATGTAGCCCACGCAGCAGATGGCGGCCCTGCGAGCAAACAGGACAATGGTACTCGTTCTTTACAGAGACCCTTTCAGAGCTCAGTTGCTTTACATTTACATGGTGTATAAGTATCATAAGTGTACATATTCTGTACTGCGAGAATGATTAGCGTCACGCATGAGATCAAAACTCGTTCTTCTAGCACCAAGTAGGTGCAGGTAGTGATAAAGAACGAGTAACAACGAAAAATCGATTAAATTACTCACAGTCTTGTGGGAAGAAAGCTGGGAGAGTCATCCTTGTTCCTAAGAATGTCGTTGCACTTGTTGACCGTGTCGAAGAGCAGGAAGGTGTCCCCGACACTGAACAGCGTGGCCAGGCACCGCCCGATCAGCTTGCGGGTGGGCGGGCCAGGGCCCCCCGGGCACGGTCCCCCAGGGCACTCCTGCACGTGCCGCGTCAGCTGTTCCACCAGCTTCTTCTGGCATCCCTTGATGTCCGACTGGGGGCAAGCGAAAGGCAGAGTTAGCGCCTGCA